TACACATTAAAAATACATAGAAAAATAATGTAATTAGAATTTATGCAAAGTAGAGTTTTACAAAACAAGTACGCTACAAGAAATACATCTTATATCCAAGGACAAAACTGCGGAAGTATACCTGCACATATATGTTTACGAAAAAACATTTATTTCTAAATGCTGAGTGGGAAGGCGAAGATCGAATCCTGGTTTTATGGTAGAATGTCGAAGAAAACGTCGAGTTGTTAGCACAAAGTTCCCAGCTTCTAAAAACAGCTCCCAATCGGGATCAGACAGCGGTTCCTCTTTCCAGGTTCTGCTTAATTTCTGAGGTGTATTTCCCATAGAACCTCTCTGCCTTCTTGTTGAACTTGGCGTTCCTTTCATTGATGTAGTCGATATCAGCATCGTCATTGTACGGACGTCTTCTGCTGTATTTGTCACGTTTTTCAATTCTGAAGCAAGAAGAACATCACACACACAACTGAAAATCATCTTTATTCCAATCTTAATAAAACACAGCTAAACCCCTTAAAATCAGTCCACTTAAAATAGCACATTTTGAAAGGGGGCCAAAAAAAAGTCATCTTTTCATTAAGATGAAAATTCTGGGGAGAGGTGGGGGAAAGAAACTACAGGGGAAGGGAGGCAGCGGTCAGTCGGTGTAAGATAAGAAAATAATTTGTAATTTATCAAGGAGTCACGAGAGTGGGAGGGGGAGGGAAGGTAAAAAGAGGAACTGATAACAAGGGCACAGATAGAAAGTAAATGTTTAGAAAATAATGATGGCAACATATGCACAAATATGCTTGAGACAATTGATGTATGGACTGTTATAAGAGCTGTAAGAGCCCCCAATAAAGTTATCTTTAAAAAAAAAAGACAGAAAACGCTAAGCAGCAGCACATCCCTGGATATGAATTCAGTAAATACAAACTCAATTTTAACATGCTTCAGAAAGAGCAAAGATGCCCTCGGGGACCTGTACCCACGAAGCCCTGCTGAGAAGACGAAGCTCCTCACAGCCAGCTGCCTGCCAGTGCACTCGGTCTGTCCCCGGAGGACTGTGCTCCCCAGGGCTCCCAGGGCTGGTCTGCGGGGAGGAGACTGCCCGGCCCTTCTTTTCTTTCAACGCGCCTCTGGGGGGCAGACCTCCAACGCTCAGGTGAGCAGGCCAGGCCATTACAGAAACTCCATGATGAAAATGACCATGATTCCATCAGCAACAACAGCCGCCGCTCAGGTGAACTGCTCATGTGCACGTCACCTGCCTCCCTGGCATCAAGTCATTTCTGGCGTATAGCCACCCTGCAGTGCAAGGTGGAACTGCCCCTGTGGGTTTCCGGGAGGCAGTAACTCTTTACAGGAGTAGAAAGCCCCATCTTTTTCTGAGGAGCAGCTGGTGGTTGCAAACTGCTGACCTTAAGGTTAGCAGCCCAACACTGAACTACTAATCCACCAGGGCTCCTCCTACAAGATTAAGAAACATAAATATATCAGAGCTGCATATGCTAGCTCATTCTTGCCTCTTCACAGGAAAAAGAAGAGTAAAGCAAAAACCTTTAAAGAACCATTTTCTTTAGATCTTTCCCCTTTGATTATAACAATTCAAATTCATCAATTTTGTACCTGTGTTCAAACCAAATGACCTCAACCACACTTGAGGTTCAAGTTTTAACTAACATAGAGGACAGTACTGTGGTTTCCTTGAGTCTCTATCTATGAGAAAGGAGCAGGTACAGTTTCTGCCTGTTCCACTCATTCTCGGCACAGCGAACCTGCCTGGTTCTCCCCTGGGCTTCGCTGCCGAGTACTCACTGTTTCTCCAGATCGATGACCATCCTGTCGACCTCCTCAGGGGAAGGCACGTGCGTTCCGTGGATAAGACTGTTGGATGTTGGGAAAAATTCTTCTCCGCTGAAAAGACAGCACAGTGGACTTAGAGCAACATGACCAATGCTCCACTGTCAAACTTTCAAATAAATTGGCATTCGTGATGAGAGATAAACATATACCTGTAGTTACTGCGAGGGCCCAAGTTTTATCCCTCCCTGCCCCTTTATTTAAGAGACAGTACAGAATTCTAAACCAACAAATCTAAAAACTCCACTGCCAACTAGTTGCTTTCCACTGAGAGCAGCCCTCTCTACTCAACAACCTCCCTCAAGAAGGCAGAGGCCAAAGCCAGCCCGAGGAGGAGGCCTTCGCAAACATCACACGGCTGGGACCAGAACGCCCAGGCTCAAGC